CGTAAAAGACAAGACTATGTGCCAATCATGACAGCTAAAATTCAAGAGATGGAAAAGAACTTTCGAAGTTAATATACAAATTTCATTTATATTCTCGAAGCTGATATTTGGATCAAGGGTCAATGACCGAGGGCCCATATGAAACACGTCCACAAATAGAACTTACCATATTGTATATTCCGGAACATCTGCTCACTGGATACCGTGCTCTGTTCCGTACTGGAAAAAATAAATGAATGTATACAATCTCACTCAGCTATGTTCTCAAGGGGAAATTGCGGAACTGCTACCAGTGAAGCTCAATAACTTGCTTTACGATACCCAACAGAAATTATCTTTTCCGTGTAGGAAATGGGTGGGTACGTACAAGTCTATCCCTCCGCCATTCGGAAGTGCGCGGAATCAGAGGCTTGTGATAGCCTTGATGTTCTTTATGCTTCTGCCCGCTATTTGATACCCCATCGGATGCTCCCCGGCCCTCCAACCTGAACGCCAGTCGGTCCTTATGCGTGTGAAGTGGGTCCCTGGCCTTCCAACCTGAGGGCCAGTCGGTCCTTATGCGTGTGAAGTGGGTCCCCGGCCTTCCAACCTGAGGCCAGTCGGTCCTTATGCGTGTGAACCCCCTCCCGATGGCACCGTCGAACTATTACTGATAGTTCATCAAAGGTGTCATTCCCGTAGCTCGCTTGACTAGTATATTTCATGAAATTTGGTAAGAGATATTATATAGAAGAGGACGACGTATCAGGAGAAGACACTGGGGAGGGGTGTATTTTAGGACATTTTTTCCGACGTCAAGGCGTGTCGTGCAGTACCCACATGCGGAAAAATCACAGGCGTGTTCCTTAAACGTACCCAGGTGGTCATATCGTTCGAGATTATGAGCACATTCCTCAACAGCTTTTCGTATTTCATTTTCTGTGCTCCCAAACGAGATCACGGCACACATACGGTTCGGTAAGCCCGTCCAATTCACGCGGATGCATATCGTGTTGAATCCTGGCACATGCAGTAATCCCACCTGAAATGTGAATGTACTTCAACCTTCTCGAATACTGTATACTTATAAAAGCAGTTTTTTTCAGAGGAGGACAGGTGATGAATAGAGTATTCAGTACGCGTTTGTGACCTTTAATAACTTACCGTGTACCTCGCCATGACATTGAACGAAGTGTCGTCCATCCTGATGGGGAAATCTGTGAACCGATAGCAAACCATCTGGTTACTCTGGAATCTCTGAAAGAAAGTTTTTTTCGAGAGGAAGGCCAACTTCATGGCACATCATGCATCTGTTAGATACAGGTGGTCTTGTTCGCTGCGAATGCCGGGGCGTGTCAGGTATGCTGGTTGTGGCGCGGCGTCAGCCCGCCAATTCCCACCAATTAGGACTGCTTTATGGCTTCCACAACCGGTGGAGGACGGAGATGGCGCCACGCCAACGCAGCCCTCTTTGACATGCTCCAGCATCTGCTTCGAACAAGACTGTATACCGTGTCAATGCCAATATGTCTGCCTACCTGTTTCGAATTATTCTCAACAATAAGAAAAATTTTACACAACGAAATGAAAGATTTACAATTAATTGTTGGTGTCAGAT